AAAAATTTGCTCAAATTAAGGACTCGCTGTTAATGGAATGCAGGCAACACTGTAGACACTAACTAGCTTGGATAAGTTAGGCTAGGCCTGCACAATTTGCATCAAATTAAGTGCAGACCACCAGGAACTCAATAAATCTTCCCTTTCTCTTTGGCTGTTCATCTGGGACCACAAGGAACAGCTGGGAGGAAGCATCAAGCAGCCAGCGTGGGGGCTGGGTTGGCTAGACTTGCATTCGGCACTGGATAGGGTTAGGCTGAGCTGAGAACAGACCCTGGTTGGCATCACCCTCCAGCAATCAGTGAGTCTCACTCTTGAATTAACATGCAATGCCTTACACTTTACAAATGATCTTGTCCGGAACAGCGGTGCCAGAAGGCCAGTGCTGGCATCAGCCTCATTCCAAACCACTGTCAGGTGAAAGCAGGACAGAGCAATGTGCGCTGTACCTACCTACCTACCTACTGCCCTCAATAAATGATCTTGCAGCAAAATCAACCACTTGCAGTTGCTGAAAGGCAGTGCCATGGCTTACGTTCTTAAACACATTTCCTGCTCCATCACATTGATGTCAGCACTAAAAAAAGCCAAAACATGAGGACCACTTCCTACAGCATCATCTTCACTCGTACAGAGAAGTGAAATTTGTCCTATAGAGGGACTCCCTTTTGCCCTAATGGGTAGGCAGGGAAGACCTTTCTGTTTGTATAGCAGACTTTTCTTTCGCTCACACTGGGCAGTGTCCAACTGCGTTAATGCAAATGACAGTGATGAACTGGCAAGAAGAAACATGGTTACAAAAACTACATGCAAGAGGTGAATCCCTCGAAAGTTACATTTGCATAAGTGCATGCAAATGTTGTGCAACAGGTTACATGCTATACTTGTGCCACTGGCTGTGCAAGGGTAATGCACAGCCACTTCACTTGTGCCACAGCCAAGATTCAGAGCATCCCACTAGGGCGAATTGAGTTTGCCGAATGACACTATTAATCCAATGAGACACGACTAATGACGGGGCCCATTAATTTGCACATAATGTCAAAATCCAGTGCCTTCCACTTCATGGAAAACAGTGAAGGGTGAGTGTGTACATGTTTGCATGCCAACACTGTCAAGCCTGTCAATGCCATGTATCTTTTACAAAGGTATTATAGTATTAGCGAAATATATGGCATTTCTCAGGAACATTTTCAGCACCATTGAAAAAGACTATCTTTTGGGCCATTTTTCAGAAATTAGCTTATTGGTCTAGATTACCATCATTTTCCCCTTGTTTGAACTATCTTCTTTTACGCACAGTCAAATCTGACCGGTGATTTTATATACTAATGTCTGTCCAACTCTGATATAGTGCCCACACGTTATCCCATTCATTGCATGATCTCTGATCACACAGGATTACCAATCCAACTCTTTTCATGATAGAAAATCCTAGCATCCAGTGTAAAACAGTGGTTCTGAAAAGGTTTTTTTAAGGGGTTGTATATTTTATAGATCTAAGACCCAAACCCAGAAAAAGTTCATTGCACTTAAGTGCTTTTGAAATCAACAGGACAAATTAGTTGCCATTAAAATTAAATCCCATAATTTCAATAGGATTTTGGTGTGATTATCTTTCAGGGTTGTTGTTTTTGCTGCAGCACTTACTTCAGAAATGTACACTGGCAAATATTTTGCATAGCTCTATTTAGTATATACATTGATAGTTTTTAAAAACCCCATTCTACGGAACAAAAACTCTCTTCTTCCTTACAGGAGTCAAGTTAATAATTTAAGATCACTGCAGGGCAAGCCATAAATACAAGCAAACTAGGGTGCCGTATAGAGTGACACAATTCAAGGAGCACCTACAATGCTTAATGAGGCATATAATTTTAGGCTTGCTTGCTGCTCTGACATGTTTAGGTCCCCACTAAAACGAACAAAGGCCCCTACAGAATCCCCTGCAATAGCGCATGAATCCACAGCACACAGAATCACATTTCAGCCCTGGCCTTTTTTTAAAACTCAAGCTCACCAGAAGCCTCTTGGTATTTCCAGTTTGTTTGGGGTGGGGGGGTCACTGGCTTCCCAGCGGGGCCTGTAAAAAGAAGCAGGAAGGGCTGGCCGGCAAGCTGGTCAACTCGCCTGCTTAAAGCTCCTTGGCTACAGAATCTACTTTTATTCTTGGCCTGATCTGCCCGGCCCGCTCTGTGTCCTGCCAGGTTTGCTTCTCTGCTCCATACTTGTTTGCCCGCAGCTTTCCCCCAGTGCTGCAATGACAGCCACGTCCTCGCTTGCTTGCTAGCATGTATGCTCAGTTCTCATGGGAACAGCCTAACCTAGGGCAAGAAAAAGGAGCTTTCCAATAGCCCCGGATTATTGTGACTGCTTGTCACAGCGGCATGCTTTCCCTCCTTTGCTCACTGACGAATATTTGCTACAATCAGCATTTTAATGCCTCTGATCAGTGCATTGAATTAAGGGGGGAGCAAAAACTCTGCCAACGCAGGTCAGCGATAGTTCAGCAATACTGCTTTCCAGTGCATAAAATCGCCACTTTGGAAACATGGATATATTGCACTCACATACCTCCGCTTACACTTGCGTTTAATGAGTATTGGAGAAGTTATTCAACACATTCCAGGATTAGGAGGCTTGGGAAATCAGGGACGAACCCTAGAATGCTCTCAGCAGCTTAGTTCTATTGTTCTTCTTCCAAATTATACCTGGTTTTCCCAATATTCTCCCTCCTGTAAGCAGGTACTTAGGTTTTAGGTGGCTGACCAAGATGCTCTCAAGAACACCCAGGAGTCAACCCTGATGAAAGAACGTCTCGGGAACTGGCCAACCGAAAACTGACTACAGACAAACCCACAGTACAAAAGCCCAGGATTTGTCCGTGGAGATCTGGTTTGCAAGAGGGGAATATATTGGATGTGGGCAGGCTGACTGTTGCAATGAGCATCATTTTGCAACCTGTTGTATTGCATCAACGTCACAGGCCGACTTGGCACTGCAAGCTCTCTATGCCAGTGCGGCAAGGAAAGTCAATGCCGCTTCTGTCTTCAGCAAAACAGTGACCACAAAAACAGGGTATCTTTCTTTGCCTCCCATCATCCTTTGAGATACAGCATATCATATTGCCCTATTATTTTAGCCAAGGGGACGGATAAACAGTGATTCTTTCCTGCAGCTAGCAGTGGTCTTTTCTCTTTCAGCAAGTCAGTCTGCCCTGGAGCTGATCCTGACTCATCAGGACTCTCCTACCTTCATCATTCCGCTAGGAGTTTCGTGATAAGTGTGTGACTGTGATGAGCTTTGTGTCTTGTCGCCCAGTTGACACTTACTCAGGCACTGGCACTGATCCCCTATGTGATGAAAGAGCCCCATCACACGCCTGAACTAACGAGCAACACGAACACCAAAATAGGCAGCCCAGACGTACAATCACTATTTTTGCTTTATTTTTGTCCCATGCATATGCCCCCTTTCTACTATCCGATTCCCAAAGCAGCCACACCATAAATATGGAAACAAGAAATAAAATTTAAAACAAACATCATAAAAATACAAAAGCATCAATAGAACAAAGGGTCAACTACAGAAAATATAAAACTGGGGGGAAGGAGGGATCTAGGGATAAATCTACCCTTTAAACAAAGACAGAAAAAAAGATGAGGATATGGATGTGGTGGGTTTCCTGTCTGTCTGTCTTTCCTTCCTTTCATGGAAGAATTCCACAAGGTAGGAGCTACCAATGAAAAGACACTGTTTTTGTACATTACAATCTTTTCTCCCTAGGCAATGGAATTCTCTGCAGGGTCTCATTGTCAGGAACAGTCCAGACGGGAAAAATTCTTCCCTCAAATATTCATTTTTTGAAAGTCTTATTCCTAACAAATCATTAAAGGCATAAGGGCAAGGGAAGCCTCCTGTACTACATAAAATGAACGGTTAGTGGGCAAGAGTCCAAGCTGATCCTATTATTTATAGCATTTCCAATGGGTAATAATGATATTGGTCCAACAAGAATGCTGTTCCTTTTGGTGCCCATAAATTGCTTACAGAAGCTTCCCCACAAACGCACGTGCACATCCGTCAAAAACTGCTTCGCAAAAGCCTGCAAGTTTTGGAATGGATCCATTCCTAAGTGAATGAAATAGTGCTCTGAATCACACGACACAAGGAAGGTTCAGAAGCCACACTGGCTTGTTAATCAGCCCCATGCAGGCTCATTTATTCCCCTACTTTGCTGGGCGTGGGTTGTTGTGATGTGTGAACCCGCTAAGGGTAGGTAGCTGGGGCTGTGGACAAATGACTGAGAAACTCTACAACAGAGGCCGGGGTATGGGCAATTTGTTAACCCCACCCCAGCTGGGTTTACGTCACAAAACCCCACAGCCAGCATGCTAATAAGAGCCAGCACTTGGCCAGCATGTGTGTGGGGTGTTAATGAGTCACCATGGCCTAAACCATGTGAATGCAGTCACTGACAATTAAAATAAAAGTTTATGGGTTGTATTCAATCAACTGTACCAACACTAGCCTTACTTAAACCCCATTCATTTCCATGGGTCTATTTTTAGCACTGGATACAACCCTAATTCAGAAAGTGTAAAATATTTCTTTAGTGTGTCTTTGGCAGGGAAAATTAAAGATGTCGGTGCTGAAAACATGTCAGATTATATATCATACTGACCCAGTTGAGGGAGATTTGGTTTTAGAAGCCACCACAAAAGTGCCCACACTTATATTAAAATATACTAGATCCAGAATTTTTTAGACGAAAGGGAAGACAAAATGAAAATCAGAGTCTAAGTTCACTTTGGTGTGTGTTTGTGTACATGTTCCCACATCCCCATATCAGGTAGAGTGCAATCTAGTAACACTAACTGAGCAGAGCTGACTAGTATCGCCATTGATTCAGATGAACGATATCTAGAGAATGTCATATGACCAGGTGTTTCCATGTGGCATCAGCCACCTTGGCATCATCCTGAAAACTCGATACTTACTCTTGAACAGCTCGGGCTATAGAGAGGGCCGTGGATCCAGTTTCGTTAACACTATCCAAGGTCACATTGGGTAGGTCATCGTCATCGCTGTCACTTTTAATTTGTCTGGGAGACAGGCCACGTGGGTCCATTTGTGCTGGGAAATAAAGAGACACAACAGATCAAAATTAACAGAGTGAAATTAATAGTACCCCCGATCAAAGTCAAGGGGGACATCCCCAGCATAATCTGCTAAATGCCATCATTATACTTATTACTTTTCTCTATGGTTTTCTGTCCCTCCCTTTGGACTAGTAGGGTCTTTCAAGCAGCTCACAAATAAAAATTAAAACAACATGCCATCAAAAATTATCCACACAAGGAACTGAATTAAGACTAAGTACCCAGATACTATACGTAGCATCATGGTGAGAATAAAAGGCAAAGTGATTTGGAATCCTGAGTTTCAGTGTTTCCTCCGCATATTCACACAAACAAGCAAATTCATTTGTACTTACATAAATTGACAAACATATAGCTGAATGATACTAAAGGGCAACTAAAGGGCTGGAGCAGCATATGAAGAGAGACAAGGACATCTGGGATTGCTTCACTTAGGAAAACAACATCAGCAACAAGAAGCAGCGGCAAGGGAAGACCGGGTAGCTGTGTGCAAAATCATGCACGGCGTACCTGAAATGGACAGGGGGCATTTCCCCCCATTTTCCCGAATTCAGAGTCATGCCTGAAGCCATGACTTGTGGGAGCCTCGGGACAGATAAAAGGAAAGGCTTCTTTGCGCAGCACACAGTCAAACTACAGACTTCACTTCCATGAGATGTAGTGATGGCCACCGCCACTTTGGGAAGCTTTAATTAAAGGGAGATCGGCAACTTCATGGAGGAGAGAGCTAGCAAGAGTCGCTAGTCCAGAGTGCCGTGGGCTACCTCCAGCATCAGAGGCAGTATGCCCATGTACACTGAACACGGGCAGGAGGGCCCTGCTGCATCTGGTTGGTGTGGCTTTTCTCACGTCCCCACTCGTTCAGGTGATGTTATACTGCTATTGTAAGAATTGGGAGGCGAAACAAGCAGTCTTGCAGCCTCATCCTCAACAGTTTTCTGAGCCTGATAAACAGATTATAAAATTGATTCCTGTTAAGGGTAAAACTAGATGCTCCAGACCACACTGTTGCAGCCTAAAGCAGCAATTCCATCTTTCTTCTCTCTCCTGAATGCCCTAGTAAGCAGAAATCTAAGACATGGAACCAGCCCATGACACGTCCTGCACACACACTCCACTGGCTGCTGTTGTGGAGGCTGAGAAACTTCCTCTGACTTTAAACCAGACTTGGGCTTGTCTGCCTTCCAAACAGGAGGCCTTCCTCTGTAAACTAGTCCACTTGGCAACTGTGAAACATTTGGCTATGCTCAGCACAGGGTTGTTTGACTCCCATTGATTGTAGTTATAGAGAGAAGACAATTGGAATATAACCTGGAAAAACCCTCAAGAAAGTTAGAAGCGTTGGTGGCAGGGAAGGGGCAACAGAAGAAAGTTGTAATTTTGATTATGATGATTTCAGTCCTCTTAAAGTAGACATCTCTCTGTGTTGTCACATCCTTTAACTTAACTTTATCTCTCTAAATATTTGTTCTTCTCCTTAAAGTTCAGGCTATTGATTTCTGTAATGAGCAAAGAAGGAACTGTAGTCCTTGGTTATACAGAGAAGCTGGAATGCTCAAGAAAGCAATAGGCAAAGCGAACATTTTAAACAATACATACTTTTTAAAAGGCTATCTTTTTATTTTGTATACAGTTCATCAATTATCCTGATTGCCTAAACTAACCAGAAAAACCAATAGTGGGTCATTTATTGTTTTCATTTTTATGCCGTGATGTTGTGTTAGAAATATTTGACTTAATACGATGAAGAGGCCATCAATTCTGAACGCCCCATAAGAAAATTAAGGGGGAAGGACATCCTTCAGTATTAAAGTCTATCTCTTAATGATACTCCATCAACTTCATTGCCTAGCAGTGACTTTAAAATGGCAGCTATATTATCTTGCCCTTTCTGAATTACGCAACTAATTATGCAGTAAGTTCAATAATGCTGCAAGACTATCATTTATTGGACATGAATGCTGAATATTAATACCCTTCCATACATGAGGGGGAAAATAGATATAACAAAACCCATTGGTGTGCCTAGTTGCTACCACAGTGACTTACAGCACAGTCCTCTAAAGCATACTCAGAACCAAGTTCCTTTCAATGGGCCGCATTCCAAAACAAGTAGCTGTAGGAACTGCAGTCGTACTTTCTGGAAGCTTGGCCATGGGGCTACCGCAGCTCATCTTTCGGCAATCCATGATGCAGTCCCGATGTTTTAAACTACAGCTCTCACTATCCTTTATTTTTGGTCTACCTGGTTAGGGCTGCTAGGTATGGAAGTCCAGAAGGGCCTCAGGTTGTAGAGGGCTGCTCCAGCTCAACACAACCCATCAGGAGGTGATAAACCTAGTCTGACTGGGACTGCAGAACTGGGAGTGTTGTCAAGGACCTGGCAAGCTGCAACTCACAGCAACTGGGCAGTCATCCGCTTGGAGACTCACAGGTTGCGCAGACCTTCACATTCGGTGGTGCCGGGATTTCAGCTCAGAGGAAGTCACTGGTATCTTCTGGGTCATTTTTGTTCTCACTAGGAAATTTATTTTATTTTATTTTATTTATTCATTGCATTTTTCTAATGGCTGGATTCCATAAAGGAGGTCACTTCCTTGAATTTGCTAGATCAGTGCAGGGCTTTTATGGATAGGACATTTTGGAGGACTTTCACACGTAGGGTGGCTGTAAGTCAGAGAAGACTTGACAGCACATAGCAAGAACAATTTCTATAATGCCCATTAGCCAATGCTCTCTGAGCACTGCACGAAATGAAACACAAAGCCATAGAGTACAATAATAGAATAAAACATAATATAAAAACCTTAACATGAAAATGATGTGAACTAGTCAGCTCAATCTAAATATCAAGTTGCATTTGTGTCTCAAGCCCATTACTTTCTCTTTGCAAAAACACCAAAACAAACCAACCAATGCAGGAAGAATTGTGTTTCTAAGGAAGTCATGGGGTTTATTGAGAGTTGGGGTAAAGCTAACACGTGTGCTCAAATCTGTCAGAGCAGGTCGGCCAGAGCACAGAGAAAAGCTGCAAGTCCTCAAATCTGCGGTCTGCTCTCTTGGAAGCAGCTATCCTGAAATGGTAAGCCAATGAGTCTCTTGGAAAAGACATGTCTTTCCTCTATTTTAAAAGGAAAGCAGGACTCAAGGAAACAGAGAAGGGTCCATCTCTTACACACCTGACTTTTTCCACACCACAGTGTTTAGCTCCCCATATTTGGAAGCCTGGCAAGCAAAGCCCCGTCTCCCCAGCCTGACTCTTTTCTACAGCCTGCTCCCAAAGAAGCTTTTCAGGTGCACAGCACAAAAAGCCACAGGCTATTGCAGAACTTCCGAACTTTTTTGGATCAAGGTGCACAATTGGAGTTGGAAAGTCTAGTAGGGGAAATCACACAAAATGACTGGTAGAGAGAGGAAGTTGGCTGTTCACAAACAGCTGCTGGGGTGGAAATGGTCAATCACAAGAGAGCCATTTTCTGAAAGGCAAACAAGGAAGGCTGGAAAGACATTTGCCCATGGGCAGCTACAAGGCACAGGGGGATCTAAGGTCAAAAACACAAAGTCACTCTTTTCTTTGAAAACCAAGGCAGCTCAGAGACAAGTAACTTGGCCAAGAAAGCCATGTGAGATCCAGAAACTTTCTTGGACAATTCTGGAGGCCAGTGACTCACTCTGTAGCATGTCAGTCTCCTTGCTAAAGGAAAAAAAGAATGCAACAACTAAATCAAAGTTGTAGAGCAGCATGGGGTTTGGAAGGCACCTAGAGAGGTGTCTGTTGGCCCCATGCTGGACATCTTAAGGCTCTTCTTACGCCTGCATAATTTGCCATCATTTATATATTGCTTCTTAAACAGGGTTGCATGTCAAGCTACTTGTGTGAAAAAATAAAGGGAAAATACAAATGTGATTGAAAAGCTGGAGGTCCCTAGTTATACAACTCCTGTGCTGGCCTGAACAATTACTAAGATAAGATATACAAAGAACACTGGACACTCTAAAATTGAAATTCAAATGCTATCTTCAGCTGCATTAACCAGTAGCAACATCACCATTGCTTCCAGTACTTATAACAAGACTCCATGCAGTATTCAGGGACGATGTATCTAGGAAGGTGCATTTCAGGTATGTTAGTACCTCACTTTTCATGCTGAATAGGTTTCTGAAAAAAATGGCAGAGTACAGTGGAAAATAGCCCTCATGGTTATCTGAATGGAAATCACTAACTGTTTTTGCTTGGTATAAAGGATACTTATAGTAAGTAGACAATTCCAAAGAATACTCTATTACCCCTAATCAAGCACTTGAGAACAGAAGTGAATTGATGCCAGGTTGTTCAGTAGCGTCCAAATGAACTTGTGGGACATGGCTGTTGATGTGAATGGAAATATGCACCAAATAAGCAGCTCATCCCTTGCAACTCATGTCACAAGACCAGGATTAGGGGCTGCAAATTTTCATCTGGTATTGCAGAAACAGAATGCACAATCCAGCTGAAGTTAAGCATGTCTAAGTACCACTGATTTCAGTGGAAAAGAGTTAAATACACACGTGCTTGTTCCAAGCAGCATGAAAGAGATATCAGTGAGAAACAGAGTGGGGACTGAAGCCTAGAATGTATGTGGAATGATACGAAGAGTCTCCCATAGGCAAATTGAGGAGAGAAATGTAGCGCATCGTGCTAACATGCAAAATCCAGCTTTTGTGTGAAGCTGGGTTGGTGGGACAAAATCTATTGGTGGCTACATTGGCAGCCATTCATTACATCCTAGAACAGAATCCAGCTTGAGGAAGCTGTAAACTCTCAATTATTACAATTAACATTCCCTGTAACAAGATCCATAAGAGAGAATTTGTTAACAATTGGTTCTTGCATGTCTTTGGTATGTTTAATTTGCCCTCTTTCTTTAAATCATTCTTCAACTTATGTGTATAAAACTAATATATAGATATAGATAAATACTATAAACATATAAC